TCCATCAATTGGAATTAATTGCTTTGTAAATGGTGTGTTACTGTAGCAGTGACATAGTATATGATGCACAAAAAAAGCAGGAGTTTTACATCACAATTCTTACAAGATGTTTTAATTCTGACTTTCATTTTTTTACAGTACTCATCACCATTAGCTTTAATGCTTTACCCCATTACAGTGTTTTTAGTTGCTAGTATGTTAATAGCTTTTCTTAATGTGCCCAAATCACAAAGAGTAAATCTTTGTGTAAATCTTTTTATTAGTCATCCATAATCCACAAGTAATTCTTGACCTGTAGGAACCAGGTTTGTTTTTATTCCCCCTCTCAAGGTGGCCAATAATTGTGTTAGGAGCTCTATTCTGCTCACATTGAACTCCCTCCAAAATTCTTCTTATTTTGATTGAGAGTGAATTATTTATTGTGGATACAAAATGTCCTTTAAGACAGTGAATCCAAATCCATGTACAAGAAGTAGTACAGTTAAAGCTGATATATAGCAAAGTCTCCAAATCACCCATTCCATGGAAAATGAAGACTTTCTGCCTGCTCATGCATAGGAGTCTGAGGGATAACTGGCTGGCTAAAACACCACTTAATTTATGGTTATTCATGCAGATGTTACAGCTCTGTGCTATGTACTCTATGCTGCTTTTGTTATAGGTTGGAAAATGAATTTGTTCTTTTTCCCTATAGCAATCCCTTCCTGGGAGCTCTTTCAAGAAGTGGGCTGTAGTGTAGCTCATTACAATTTAATCTCTTATATTTTAATAAGTATCCTACAGGGTTATTAAGGTGTTAGAATTATCTCTAAAAAAAAAAAAGAAAAGAATGACATCATTAGTTAGCAAATTAAGAAAATTTGTCTCCCAAATACACTCTGTTTGAATAGAAACAAAACGATTTTATAAAAAATGAACCCTGTTACCAGTAACTTATTTATTTTCAGAAGCAGAAAATATTTTTTTTGAAAACCATAGAGAAATAATGTTTCAAAACAAGTAAATGCATTTCAAAGCATAATTGTATAATTTATCAGGATGAAGGTTTAGTCCCTCCAACACAGTCACATACTGTGTTGCACTGCCATTATAAATGGAGCCATTACTTCTCCTAATAAATTTGAAAAATTGCCAGAAGTACCAATATTTTTTACTAGCACCCAAACTGCATGCACCCAGTTATTTAAAGGTAGCATGGACAGGCAGCATTCCCACACATTCACTGTTAAGGGAACTTTTAGAGCCAGAGCACCGAGTGCCTACCCGGGAAGCAGCTTTCCAGAGGCTCTGGCAGGCTGTGGTGGGGTCTGGAGCAGCCCAAAGGGATGCTGTGGAGCCCAGCAGGAGAGGAGAACCTGGAGGGATTGTCCACCGGGTGCCGCGGTGATGAGCAGTTCTGGTTACTCCCGGGGGCTCCCTGCAGGGACACGTGGTTCTCGTTGAGACTCAGAGGGTCACCGTTCCAACTGGACACTGAGGTGACACCTGAGCACACAGCAGACAGGAATAAGATCAGATGACGGTCTCTGAGACACCCACAGCTTTTATAAATGAGTAGAGTAGTGAGAGACAATTCAAACAAGTTTGGAGAGCAGCTTCCATGGGGAAGGTGCTGAAGAAAGAAGCCCCTGCACTCCAGCTGCCTGCCTTTGCAATTTGGCTGCCCAACCCTGGCCACCACAGATGTCAAGAGACTTGTCACCAGAAGCTGCAGGAGATGTCAGGTCTGCACCTCACAGAGCAGTGAAGTCCAGCCCCTGTGTCCTGTGCTCAGGGGGAGCAGGACCATCACTGGGATACATTCCCTGGCATTTGTCCCCAGGCCTCAGAAATTAATTTGATGAACAGCCACCACCTCACAGAAATTGTTCTCCCTCCCCCAACCAAACATCCTGCTACAGATGGACTTACTGGTAATTTTCTGAGCCACAAATGTCTCTTGTAATCTCCCTGGCAGCTGATCATCACTACAGAACCAGGCAGTGGAATACACTTGACCACAGAGGACCTGAAATGGGTAGAGCAAATGAGAGCTAATTTTTAAGTCCTGAGTCCTCAAAACTGTTTCTTACAGTAAGTGTTCTCTCAAGTGATGGCTAAAAATTGCAATTTTCAATAAACTTCAAATATAATATCATTACTGTGGTAAAATATGTCATTATTACTGGAAAAATTAAATAGCAAGAGGTTGTTGTTATATATAACAGCATATATTGCCTTGTATCTTCCTGCTGATAAGGCAGGAAACTGCAAAGTACTTCCAAGATTGATGAATCAGTCCAGGTTCCTAAACTAGGAGTGAGGTGGAAATGGAAATTCACCACATACAGCCAGAGTTGCCCCACAATATTTGAGTACAAGTACATTTTGCAAAGTGGTCATTAATTCTGGATCTGCTCATTTTTAGTATCCAAATCAATACCTCAGCATTGTGATTTGTGAAGATGGCACTTATTAAACAAGTTCCATTTCAAGTGCTAAGCTACAGCTGTGATGTATGTAAGAAGTGCTTATCAAATATTTGCTTCCAAATGCAATTATTTTAGCAGTAAATTTTTGAAATGTTATCTCACTTTATGCCCAAATCCAGTTGCATTCCAATGTTTTTATTGGAAATAAGCTATATCAAAGAAAGTCCTTATCTATGAGCAGCAATATCATAGGCTGCTCTCCACAAGCTTTTTATTGCTAATCTTTTTCTGCTGGAGACTTGCATGTATTTTAGATGAACTTTATTTTGTGCTGATGCTTTGCATGTGGAGTAATAAAAAGGTTTATCAATTTACAATCCATCTGAAACCAGTGAGCATTTATGAAATAATTGACTTAGTTCTTTGGGCCTCGCTTCAGTTGCATTTGAAAACAATGTTAACTTTTCTGGATGGGTAAATAGCACAGTAAGAAATGCTGTGTTCATCATGAAGGACTTCTGTGGTTTGTGCAATAGTAACAGCTTTCAGTGTACAAAATACGTATTCCAGTTTTTAAAAATGTTATCATTATAGATTGCCTCTGTAAAGGCAGCAAAAGAGTTTTATGATGATTTCTAGTTTTGACACTCGTCTTATTTGCTGATAATCTCCCACATTTAACATCACTCTAAGAATTAGGTAATCTGAGATTGTTACCAAAGAATATTATTTAATCATAACAGATATAAAACCACAAAACCCCCACCTAGAATACACCTTCTCAGTCCTTAATAATAAAATGCTCCTTCTGACAAGCTAATTGTACAATTTAGAGAGTTCCTTGTACAAGGAAATTCAGCTACTCAGACAAAAAAAAAAAAAAGAGACATAAATTAGTAGTTCATGTCATAGACTCAAGTCTGCAAAAGTTCAGTCTCTTCATGTTGCTCTAGTTCTACAAAATGGGGTAGAAACTGCCTCGGGGAAGAATCCAGGAGTAATGAGGTTAGTTCAAGTGGAGCTGACAGCACAACTCCCTATCAGGCCCCCTGCACTAAGCCATGTATCCAGATACAGCAGGAAAAATACACCTTAAACAATCACCAGATCAGCTGTAATTTCCCTGTAGGTTCTACTTCTGTTTTTCTGGTTAAACACAGAGCTCAAGACAACATCAGAAGGTACACTCACAGTGTTTATGAGAAGTTAAAACACCAGATTAACATTGGAAGAAAAATATATGACCATATGTGCCTTAGCAGAGCTCTGCAGTAAGTTTGCACAGTTTTCCCCTTTCTTTAATAACAATAGAACTTAACTGCTTAACTTTAACATAATTTCTGTATGAAATATGGAAGAACACGATGCATTTTAGCTCACCCTGGCCATTTGATGGCAATATACATGTCAGATCTACAGTGGCACGAGGATAATTAATTGTGACATTGCCAAAGGGACACAACACTTTTGCTGATAAATTCTTTACATCCTTCCAAAGGGTCACAGTCAGTATTTCAGCTTTAGGCTGGTTTATTGCCTAGAGCAAATATGATTTTAATAGACTTACATGAGCTATGGAAAAGCTGATCTGGAATAGTTACATGCTTCAAATGTGAAAAACGTTCCAGGGAAAATAGAGGAGCTGCTGTGCTTGAACTTCTTCATGCAAATAAAGTCCTACCTGAATACAAATGATGTGCATTTTTTAACAAGACTGCCAAGTTGAAAAAAAACAAAGCATATTATTGTTATAATACCAAGGTGAGATAGTTTGATAGAAATCATTTAAAACATGGATTAAAGGGGTCAGCAGAATGCAAATCATGAATAGAAGGAGGAAATGAAAAACCAGAAAACAGAAATCCTAGTAGTAGTAATTTAGCAAAAAATCAATCTAAATTTAAATTCACTGCAAAAATAGTTCTAACTTAGAAACACTAGTGAATTTTATTTTTTTTTTCCTTTTAATTAATCCTCCACTGTCCTTCCAGCATAGACACAACAAGGCTGGTATCAAACTGCCTTTGTTAGCACAGCTGACTTTGCCTGATGAACCAATTCTTGCCAAAATGTTCATTTACTGATATAACTCTGCCAGCAGACTTTTTCATGAGTATTATCCAGCCTCATACATGACCTGCCTCTGCCTTTCTTTCCATCCTTAATTGGCCATCACCCTCTCCACGCAGGTTCACATCCTGCTATCCAAATGAAGCACTGCAGTGATTCAGCAGGAAGAGCTACAGGTTTAAAACATTTGCATTTGACCTTTTTTTAAATTCCTAATGCAAGTAAACTGTATAAAACTGTCAAAACTGGTCTGATGTCAGGGTCTTGTTGGATTCTCCTGGTATGTTCCTGCATCTGAGCAGGATTAGAGAAGCCTGAAAAGGTTTTCAGTCCCAAAGGGCAGCTGCTGCAGACCAAAGTGCCTTTCATGATGGTTGAACACTGCAGTCACAAATGCCATTTCAGAAGGGATGTCAAGTTCCAGCTGAGAAAGTTACACCCTGAAAGAGAAAACTAAAATGGGAACTACCTAAACACCAGAATCCAAATTCTGAAGAAATTATAATGGGGATGCTGCAATTTTATTTCTTCAAAGACTTTCCAGATTCTCCCTTTATAAAAAAGATGATTATAAGACTTTTCTTTGGGAAAAAAAGTACATCAAGGATAGCTCCAAACAGGAAGTAACAGTGAGAGACATGAACAAAATTTATATCAGTACTCATGGACAGTATTTTGCTGGGTGTAGAGGGGTGGACATTGTGTGTGTGTTTCGTTGGAGTTTGTTTGTTTGCTTGTTTGTTTTAGAAGAAATATAGGGGAATCCAGAATTTAGGTTTCTTGGCTTAAGAAACAGCTTCAGTAGGATAAAATGGAAGCAAGGTTTTTTCTTATAGGTCAAATTCCAGCAGTAATAAAACAAGGCTGTAGCTATTTCCACTGGATCTGGATATATCCCCAGGCTCTCCAAGAGGCTATACTGACTTACAGGGAATGAAACCTGGCATGGCCTTTGAGATGTGGGTAAATTAGGTCAGGCTAATGTGAAATACAATCAAGTAAACACTCAGAAAAAAAAATATTTAAGTGATTGTGATGCCCATGGCACTGGGGCTGAATGAAACAATAATTTTTTGAGAATTTCAGTGAACTTTTATGAACTTTAATCAAGAATGTAAGACTGCTCCAAATATATAATGAATGATGTCACCAAAATGTGAGCAATGTTAGTATTGGACAGAACAATCATCCCTAAGGAAAACAGCTTTCCCACTATACCTGTCATGCTTGTAAGGACTAGTTAAGTCAATGACAATAGAGTAGATCCCAGTTATTCTGTCAGATATTACACTTAGAAATAGTCTATCAGATTTGCTTACCTATTGAGACGTGCTTTGGTTCCAGGTTTGTTAATTCTAGAAACAATGCTGACTTGGGTGAAATCATCAGGGTGCACATGTAAGCAAATGCAGTCAGTCTGGAAGAAGAGCAGGCACCTTCCATGAGAACAATTTAAGCAAAAATAAAATAAAAAAGAGGAGCACAGGTGCAAAATTATTAATAGTTACAAATGGAATATGTAATTTGTTTACTAAACAACCACTTCTCCTTTTAGTTTTTGTTTTCTGCAAAAGCCAACAAATATTAAATATCATTAAATATGACATTTCATTGGTAACACTGGAGTTCTGATATCTGTTATTAAATTCCTAGTACTAATAAAACAGAACATTTAAAAATATATATATATCTAAAATACTTATTGAAGTGTCTTCTGCTAAACAGAGAATAGGCCATTGCTCCTGTTTATTGAAAGTCAACACACATAGTGTACATTTTCTTAATGATCACACAGTTTGCAGCTACCAATTATAACCTGCTTTTCTTCCACCAAAGGAGCCCAGATTCCTTTAGCTCATACAATATGTGAACATATTCGTGCCTCTCAAAAGCAGATAAGCTGAATTCTTAGATCTTTTATTTATGGGATGTCAGTCTTAACAAATGTGGCAAATACAGCTCAGTAGCTCACAGCAGCATAACAAGACTGTTTAAGCCCTATATATTAAGGATAAAAGAAGAGAATTTCAGTCATTGCTAATGTGAATGATGTAGGATATCTACAAATACACAGATGTGTGTATACTTCCAAAATAATAACAGTTTTGAAAGAAATGGTGCATTGTTTCTTTTCTTCTTATATCCAGGACAGACTGAATGAATTTCAAAGATTAAGAATGGAAGACATCTCCTCACAGCAAGAGCTCAGGCTGTAAGTACCTGCTTTGCCCACATGCTGTTCGTCCTGTGAGACAATGGCACTGCAAAGCCTTTCTAAAGCAGATGTGTCTCAAAAATTTAAAGCACAATCTTCAACAAAGTGTCCCTTCTGCTTTTACTTGTTACATCATGTCCACTCCAGATGTCCCTTGTATAATATTAGTGAACAGTTTAATGACATCAAAATGAGGATTGTCACCATGGAAATTGTGGTAAAAGGTCATTTCTGCCTCTCATTTCACACATACGGTATAGAAGATTTTTCATGCACTTTATCAAAAGACTACAAGGTGCAAGTAAGTCCTGTGTACGGGTGGGAATATCTCTGCCTGCAGATCAAGGGTGGAGGACTGCATTGACTGCATTCCATAGTCTCATCTTCCTTAATATTGCCATAAAAGAGGACAATGGATCAGTCAGTAAATACAAGTGTTGCACTTGATTTCTGCGTGCTCACATGACCTGCCTTCCCAGTTCAGCATGTAAATCCCATACAGGGTTAATTTTGAATTCTTGCTCTGAAGTACTTCCATATGGTAAAATGTTTGAGCATTTGCTTAAACTTTTAATTGACTGTGAGCCCAATTCATCATTGTTCGCTTCATTTGCGTTTGGGAGTAGATTATTATTTTTTGAAAACCTTTCTGTAAAACACAGATTATAGATTGTTTGATGATCCAAAGGCAGTGACTCAGTGGGGGGAAGTGAGTACATCCAAATGAAGAAAAAGTCACAGAGGAAAAACAGAAAGATTTCTTAAACTCTTAAATGTTTGGTGTATTTTAACTGTGAAATACACGGACTTTAGATCTATATTGTGGTCAATAGTGATTTTTCAGTGCTGTAGAAAGTGTCAGAGGGATTTGTGAGGCAAAGAAATTTTCTAAACTAGTGCTTTTAGAGGACTGGAACCATCTAGACAAAATATTTTTCACCACCTGCTCAGAAATAAATTAAATATCTATAATTACCAAAGTGTATATTAACCACTAGCTAATTCTAAGAAGCTACCGGTGTTACATGAGCTCCAGCTAAGCCCAGCAACAAAGACATTTTGTTTCCTCAGGTAAACATCCTTTTAAGGACAGAAAAGGGCAAAAACCAAAGGCAGACATTTGAAACAATATAACAAGTTACTTCCATTTTCATATGGGCCATTCCATTCCTAAATGCAGTGTAAAGATATACCAAGGCCAGCAGAGTTTGATTTTCTTTTCTGGCAAGAATTAGTTTGAAAATAAGATTTCCAACATTTTGGAAAACTGAGGTCCAAAGCAACAACTGTGTTGTTTTGGAAATGGAATTTTACTTTTCTTAAACTCCTGGTTCTTCAAGTAACAAGTAACATCTGTAAAACTCGGCCTTGAAATCTCTGCTAGAGCCAAACTAATTTGCAATTAGCTAAATCTAAACTCATCCGTTACATTTAAACTGAGACCCATCGGGAGTCCAATTATTGAAAGATGTGAGGTGCAAAAAGATGGGTTTCTACAAGTAAATCAGCAGCAAAAGGAAGTCCAGGGAAAATGTGGGGCTGCTCCTGAGTGGGATGGGGACCTGATGACAGAGGACACAGAAAGGAGCAAAGTACTTGATGTCCTCACTTCAGGCTGACCTTCAGCAAAGAAAACTGCCACTCTCTTCTCAGGGGTATCCAGGCAGGACAAGAGGCATATTAAAACACAGGAAACCCCAGCTAAATGTAAGAAAATACTTATTTATGTGAAGGTGATCACTAGAACAGGTTGCCCAGAGAGATTGTGGAGGCTCCATCCTTGGAAGTATTCCAAACCTGATGGGATGGGGTCCTGGGCAACCTGCTCTGGGAAACCTCCTCAGATCCCACCCAGCCTCATCCACCTGGCAAAGAAAGCCAATTGCTTCTACTACAAAAGACAAAAGCCAGAATCATGGCATTTTTCCCTTGATGTGATCTAATCTATCCTTAAGTACCCAAAAGAAATAAAAATCCCTTATCTAAATTAATGGTTGGATTTTTCCAAGTAGTGCGGTGCCAGTGGAATTCTTCTGATTATTTCCAGCTGATGTTGTGTGATTGCAGATGGAATTTTGTTACTTCCATTGTGATTGACAATAATATTGAAAAGTCTGTTTCTGTTAGCTGTTATTTTCTGTAAACTATTTATTACTACAGCTGTTTCACTGTTATTAAAGTTATTAAATAGGGAACAAAATGTCTGTTACCTACAATAGGTGCTGTTTGCCTGCAGAACAGCCTGCAAACCCCATCATACTTACCTTGCAAGTGATGATAAGGCATAACAAACAAAATCAGACATCTCAGTCATCTATTGATCCTGGAGGAAAGCAGAATACTGCCTTTCATTCTGCAGAATAGATAGTAACTTTCATAAGCAGTAGTGTTTTCTCGAAGTCTTAAAAATTGCTTTGTTTTTGTTGTTTTCTTAAACTTGCCCAATACATATTTTTTTCTAGTCTGAAAAAGAGATGACTAAAAAGATGTGCAAATTCACGAGTGGTGTAGAGAAGTTGGAAAGAGACCAAGTATTCATTGCTTCTTCCAAAACAAAACCTGTGGGGGATCAAATTAAGTTATTAGGAGCTATGCTGGAAACAAATGGAAGTTTTCATGTAGCAGAGAGGAAGGAGATTTAAGGAACTACTTGCTAAAAAGTATGGTGAGTACCACAAACTTACAGGAGCACTAGGGGACACTGAACAGCTTAACAGAAAATAAAATCAGAGGGTTATTAAATACTCAGGCACTATAAACTAGATCAAGAAGTCTCTGAGCTACTCAGCAGATGGAGGCCAGAAAGTATCCTGTGTACTTACCCCATATGAAACCTTTCAGAAATATTCCCTCTTCCTTTGAGTCTCCTCCTAAGGACAGGCAGAAATCTGCTCCCAAGGTGAAGAGTCCTCCCTCAGCAATGCAAGAAGAAACAAATAATTACAGAAAACAGGAAACAGAAAAGGTGGAAGATGAAAAAGTAAAGAAGAAAAAAAAAACAAGCTCAAAATAAACCAGGAAGAAATCCAGACCACCCCTGACAGCACTTACTGATATCTTCCAATATACATGATCTGGTGAACACTGGACAGTGTCAAATGTCAAACACAGCATAAACCTCACACTAATTGTGATAATGAGATGTATCATTTACAGTATTGTTGCAATAAGATAATGTCACTTTATGCAGTTATATGAATGTGATTATCCAAATGATAAATGCTATTAATTTGTATCACATCAATGTCTGACTATTACAAGTTAAATAACTCTATAAAGATATATAATATCTATAAGATATTATATATAACAATATAACATCTATAAGGTATTATACATGTCAAAGAGGTTATATATTGAAATAAAGCTTTTGAAAACCAGTGACATTCAATTAGAATGCAGTTTAGGTAAAAACAAGCACAGCAATACCTGAATAAAATACATATATACTTACTAGATTTTATAGGTACCAATACTTGACATAAGCATCTCCTTAAAGTAGTTGTAGGATTTAACATAACAAAACCAAAAGAAGAAATATGCAGATAATGTTAAATTTTAATCCGTAAAAACACACACAAAAATAGGTGAAAACCTCATTTAGAAATTGAGGATGAAGGAAGGTAGACTGAGAATTTGAGAAGCAATTTGTACTTCTCTAGCAGCCATTCAGAACACAAAAATCTACTGAAGAATTCAAGAAATAACTTGTGATGGTGTTTCCTCACTCATTAGAGAAAAATAAGCACCAGCATTACTCTCAATAAGAATATAAGACATGTGCATTGAAATAATGTAGTACCCAGGGCACCTTCCTACAAAGAGCTGCTGCCTGATGCACAGGACTCTCTTTAGAAACAAGGTCTCCCAAAACATGCATTTTGTACCCAGAAATCAGGCTTCAGAACAACACATTTCCCACCACAGGAATTACCATCTTCAGGTAGAATGGAGGAAAATGTTTCTTTGGGTTTTTTTTAATCTTCTGCCCAAACTTCAGGTAGAATTTCCTTTACACCAAACACAACCATCTTATAGTTTCACATGAAGTTTAAGTTGGAAATGCATAGGCACCAAAATAAACAATCCTCTCCACCTCAGACCCTTTCCTTACCCCATGCCAACCTCTCCTTGCACTGGCACAAGTGGAGAAACTGCTCTGGGTTGCCAGTGACCTGACAGTGTTTTACTGGCCCTTCTTCTGGTGGCTTCCTTTAGGTTTCTGCAGCTTTCAGTGTAAATCCAGCTCTGGCTTTATGCAAAGGGCTTTAGGAGTCCTGTCTCTCACCAGAGGTTTCCTGTAAGCCTGAACTAAACATTTTTTCTCTACGAGTTAACTGCCAGGTCATCTTTTTTATTCCTTTAATGTTATTAACCCTGACCTGATGTTAATATTAATGTTACCAAGTAATAGTCACAGTAAGTTAAAACTACTGCTCTGGGAGTGTGGGAGGAGAAACAGAACTTGAGAGACTTCTGTTGCCAAAAAATTGTACCGTAGTTTGCTCACAGTGGGTGGAATAACAGCTCCTGGTGCTCAGGCCAGTGCTCTGCAGTCTCTGTAACTGCTCTTAAAGGCCTTGGGAAACATTCACATTCAATTTGAACCCCTCAATTCTGATTTAGAGTCTCTCAATGCCAACAAAACAACAGCCATAGGAAATCTCAATGCAATGGGAATAGTAGCTCCTGATTTACTCCTCAGTGCTGATGGCCTTCTGCACACAATGGCACTGCAGCTGTGCTGCTCTGTGACATCTTGAGGGGAAAAGAAAGGATTTTATAAAAGCCAAGCTAAAAGCACTGTTTTAAATTTTATTTTTTGAAAGTGTATAAAGCTTTAATTAGCACAACTCAGCTGGAAAGCTTATAAATATTTGAATAGCAGTAAGATGTAGTTTACTTTTACATATATCTTGGCATAAATTGGGGTCACGTGTAATTATCCAGACGACAGTATCCACTTTGAGATCATTTTAAGAGGATCACATTTCGTGATCAGTGTTGGGAATAACTAATATTAATGAGTGCCACTGAACCTTTAATGTACTTCCTTTTTATTCTTTGAAAGGATTACTTATGTTCAGAGCTTCATTCATATTGGAATAGGCTGTTCCATGTCACTTTTTGTGACAAGTACTAGAGTTCTGTTTTATTCTGTGGTTCCAAAGATAATTGGCAATGTTTAACTAAATATTAAATATGATTCCCCATGAAGGTTTTAAACCTGAATTTTGAGTGTATAAATGTGAGAGATGTTTTGACTATTTTACTTGAAATGTTCTTACACTACCACTGAAAACTATATTTAGCTGTTGAAGTCACAGGTTCATCTTTAAATGCTACCAAGGTCAAAATGTTTTTCTGGGGAAAAACATTAGCTATAACTCAGAAATAGAAAATAGTTTAACTTACCACAATGGAGTCTTTCTGTTTTGATCAAGAGTCTTAAATATCAGATATAATTTAGAAGAATTTTACTCCGAGTAAAACTCTTTTGTGCACTAATTATATGGGTTACAGATCTTCCCTTAAAAATACTGCATTATTCCCAGTTGCTGTTTTCTGGTGATTCATACCAGATTCACTTCCCATTGCAACCCCCTATGATTTAATGGACTTTCAACTCAGAGCTAGCCAGGATTACCATTGGGAACTCCTCACTGGGGATCTCAGTACAAAATCAGGTGCTCCAGATTCTACTCATTTCATTCATAACTATCAGTGGATGGGATCCTCCACCCTGTATGTCTGTTAACAGCTTCTTGGATGTTTCTCACTGTCTTGTTTAGTACAGACTAATATTTAGTTCAGCTTAGGGGAAAGTGTTTTAATTGATGTCTGATTTCAAGGGGGATCCCCAGATGTCAAATATTTACCTGTATAAACATGCTTGGTGTAAGACACAGAGGAAAGTAAATGTGGACTAACCTTGTCACCTTATTGTATTCCTGTTATGCCTTGACATTGTTCTTACCAAGGTTTTACATTTTGGTTGTATGAATTTCTTTGGGAAGAGTACTTTTTCAATTTGCTTCAGATCCCATGGCAACTATAGGATGAACAGAGTTTGCAGTTCCAACCAAGCACCAAACAATCTCAAATTTGGTATCCACCTGGCAGACAGACATTTGAAACAAATGCTTCATGTAGAGGAACTATATCCTACATGGGACAACTTCCAACTTCTATTGAGGCAACACTTCTGTTCTTTAAAGTATTCTTTACAAAAATGTGCAAGAAGCATCAGCTGATCCAGCAGGAATTCACTGCACAAATGCTGAGATTTACATCATTGTCTAAAGAAACAATAAATTCACTGCAGACATGAACATCATTGTGTGTTACAGATCCCTTCCCCTCCTGCCTGTGTAACACCCTCACACACCCAACACTGCAGTGGAAGTCAGTCTAGTTCAGTAACTAAAAACTTATTCCAAATACTCAGTTAGATCAGAATTTCTGTTTTTCTAATTGTTGAAATGAACAGTCAGGAACTACAAGCAACTTGACACGTTAAAAACGCTTGAAAACAGTAGGAATATGCCATCCTACAGGAGTTGTTCACATCTCTTAGATGAAGACAGTTGAATTTGGAATGAAATTTATACTGAAGCATGAAGACAATCCATTTACCCATTTTGGCAGCTAGTGCTTTGCTTTTGACTCCAGTAGCTCCATAAGCCTTTGATAAGCTCATTATGCATTGTCTGTTTTTCCTTCTTCTTTTTTGTTTCCCCAGAAAAAGGAAAGGATTGGCACACACAGTATGCTGCAACTTGTTGAATCCTGAGTTTAGGATGGAGGGTCTTGCACTGAGGAAGCATCTGTGCTGTGCTCCTTTGTCATTTGGATTTAAACAGCATATTCCTCAATGTTACTCCTGGGTACCGTGTCCTGGGAGTTCAAGACAGGTCCTGCTCTCATAACCCTTGGCTGTAGGTTCTGGTGCTGTCACACACATGTATTCCCATTGCATCCATACCAATACTTCAGTTACAAACCTCTACACCATGAAGGATTATTGATTTCATTCCAGTCTGTTGGAAGCAGACAGTTTACACCAGTAGCTCCCATCTAGGTCTTCACTGCAAAACCACCACTTCCTACAATATGGAGAGTAATTTCTGATAGAGACACCAAATTCCAGGACAGAACTTCTCCTCTTCCAGGGCTATATTATTAGCTAAAGAGTTGTCCTCTTCATTGTGGCTTCCAATGCTTAACTGTGACTCTAGATTTCATTGGAATCTTATCCAGGATTGATTAATTAAAAAAAATTTTCCTGTTTGTTTAATTTCCTGTCACAGTAACCATGGTGATAAGCTGTGCAGGAATTAAGAGAATAATTTGAAATATATTGAATAGATAATGTCACCCCATGTCCATTGTAATGTGTGACATCCTTTAGATATTAACTCAGAACACTGTTATTGTTGAGGTCCAGAGGACTTCCATAAATACTACTAAAGGAATTGATCCAGCTCCCAGCTTTAGCAGGAGGCATCTGCTACCACTTAAAGTGCAGTATTTCACTTTTCTGGCCCAGCTCCAAAGTTCAGCATCACATATGGGCAAGTCCCAGAGCTTTCTATTTATTTATTTAAGAGGAGAATTAAAGCCCAGAACTAGAGCATTATCCACAGTTATTAGCAATGCACTTGTGCTGAAAAGGTTTTAAGGATTTATTCAGCAGTACCAGGAGCAGTTCTATAGGCTGCTTCTCCATTTTATGTTCTTTGCATTACTGTGCAGTGTGGGTTTTCTGTAATACTATTGTGCTATTTGCATTCACTCAAGTAGGTGACTGTGGTGAATTTTAAAGATAAAATGCTTCAAGGAACATACATATGCAGCGCTATATTTGGAATGAAAAATGAGGAAAAGAGTTTGCAAACAAGAATATAAGTAAGCTGGATATATCATAAACAGAATACAGGAAAAATCATTCTTTAATCACAGGCAGCAAGACATCATTATCTTGGAGTTAAGGTTGCTAAGCAACTTAGCTGGTACAAAACCTACAGCACAGAAACCTTACTGTTAATGAACTCTAAAGTGTGGTAAATGTCCAAAGTAACAGGGATTAAACTGATAACATTATATTTCATATACTCCCTTATCTGTACAAGCCAGGCAAGTCATAGTCTCATTCCCATTTTTCATTCTGGTAATTTTTCATTTTATTGAGCCTTTTATGACCGTGCAATAATATGGTATAGAAAATGTAGTCTAAAGGACAATGGGTACAATGGACAGTAGAATAAATACCATGGGATGGCAGAATTTTCAAGACATATTTTCCATTAAAACACAGACTATGGAAAGTGTCTTACCTGAAGACATCTTGTATGCTGCTCCTTACTTCATTCATAAAAATCCAATAGCTGTAGAACTTAAGGACATTTTAGGAATTTTGGTCTTTAGGTCTAAAAGCTACTTGTCAGTCCAGGTCCATCAGTTAATTTGTCTTTAAGACAAAACTTCTGGAAACTGTTAGCAGAAAGATAAAACAAGTAGGTAATAGTAAATCCCCTTTCAAACATTGTGTGGACACACTGAATGTGTCACAGTAATTACAAATGGCCCTCCAGGTATTTACTAAATAAGCCTTTGATGTGAAAAAGATGTTGAACACGCCAAAATTATGACTAGAGTTCATCATGTAGCTCTTATTTATAAGAAAATAAGTCAGGATATGTGAAGCACAGAACAGGAGTAGGGGACAGAGGAGACCACACTAAGATCTTTGTTTTTCCCAGAAGAGGCAAAAGCCGCAATCCTCCTCATTCCCATCAAAACAAATCCTACCATTTCAGGAACTACCTCCCTGGCTTCTTTCAGCATTGTCCACATCCCTGTGCGCTGAGTTTGTCTGGGGCTGACAGTGATGTCCCCAGAGGTTGAATGTGACCCCTTAGTCATTATGGGGCTGAGCTCCTCTCTATGACCAAGCTGCTAAAACAACCCTACAAACCACCATCCCTCGTCCTGGAGCAGAGCAGGGTGGGCTGTGAGTGGACACAGCCTTTCCTGGTACAATGTGCTCCTCCTGCTTCTGTTCCTTACCTGTATTCCAGATCATTATTATTTTAAGTCTGTGGGAAAAAAAAGCAAATTCAAGACAGTGTTATCTAAGGAAGGCCATGTCTCAAGCAAAGAATTCTGAAAATTCAAACAATGGCACTGTCAACTTCAAAATTCAATTGCTTTACCTGATGAAATAAGATTTATTGGGTCATTGTTCAGCTTCTTGGGCACTCTATTCTGTAGTTCAGACTATGGGGATAAGTGTAATAAAAGTTAGAATAAATGCATCTAAAGGTGATTTAGAACTTGAGTTAAACAACCTTTTTTCCCATATGCCTTTGAACCATCAAAGCTGCAACAGCCCTTACACTAACACTGTCTCTTAACTGTAGGGCTGCAATTACTTATAAAATATGAACTGTGTAACCCTTCAGATTACTTTTTCTGGATCCTTGTTGCCTCAATACTCATCCCAAGGGCTTTTAATCTCAAGCATTTTTCCTCAGTTGCTCCACTGACCATAAAGCATCACAGCCAGACAGGGAGGGGAAGACATTAAACACCCAGTGAAAGATTTCTGCTGACTTCAGTAAACATTAGATCAAGCAAATAACCATGCATCAAACTCTGCCTCGATTAATGGGCTTCAGAGAAACATATTTCATAAGCAAAGCTCACACAAAGAAAACATTCATCCTTGTTTCTCTGAACTTTTTGTGGATGGAGCATGGAGTTAGAGCACCGTGGCAGTGATCTTTTCTGTTGGTTATCAGCACGTGACCATGAGTAGGAGAATTATTACACTGATTTCTCATATAGAAACCACAGAAGAAGTTGGATAACCAACTGTCCAGGGAGTATGGGCTGTCTTTATAAAACCTGGAAGAGAATACAAATCTCCAGCATCCCCACTCAATGTCTAAGCCAACAGATCAGTTTTACCAACACTGGGACAGCTCTGCCTTTAATGGGTATCAGCTGCCTGGTCTCTATCACCTATGCTCTTAAACCAGCTTTGAATAACTTGTTCTGACTGTCCTGTCAGGCTCTGCCTCGGGCAGTTTGAACTTCCAGATTTCTTTGGCATGAGTCTACCTTTCACTGGATGACACCCACTTGAAGTCCATCTTTCTTCTTCTTTTACTCCTGTGCTCAAAAGGGAAGGTTGTCAATCTCTTGTGATATTACTCACTCCAATGTAGGAAATTTGGTTCATTTGGACTAAGAACTCTGCAAACCCATGAGTGGGAATAATTTGTGTAATAATAGCTGTAGATTGTTCTCCGTGGATTTTTTTCTTCTTCAGTACCGTTTATAAACACTACTTATAACCAAACTCAAGGTTCCACGTTATTTTAGAGCTCTTTAATATAATGGCTTTCCTGTTTTGCTCTCTCTGGGCTCAGGGAAGGGAAGGAAAACCCGAGAAGGAGAAAAGAGAGCCATCATTCTGATAGCTCTGCAGTAATGAATAGTTATTGCTACTTCCAGACTCCTTAGGTAAATGACCCATCTAGTGATTACCACATCCCTGGAGTGACTGAACTTGTGATCCCTGTGTGGTCTCCCCTCAAGGGCACCTGTTTAACTTCCAGGCAGCAGCAGTTATCTCACTCTGATCAGACCCTGTTCCTTCTCATCCTCAGCAGGGTATTGACCTGAAGCCTCCTTGTAAATCCTGGTGATCGCTCTCCGCTGTTCCGAGTGCAATCCAGCAGCTGCGGAACACTCCCCTCAGAGGGGAACAGAAAAGCAGCTGATAATGCCTCACTTTGCAGTGCAAAATAAGAAGTTTTAAGGACAAAAGCACTAGGGGAAAAGCGGATAAGTGACTGTAAATGACTCGTATAGATGATAATCAAACAGAGACTCCCAGCAACTATACCCACTCCTGGACTGAGCAAGGATTTCTTTTCCAAAGGGTGTGGGGTAGGGCTCTCTCCACTCATTTTCCCTTTTTTTCCCTTGCTTCTTAAGATGGAAGAAACAAGTATTTGAGGCTGAAATGAATCCACCCGAGTACTCTGGCAGGAGCTGTTCTCCACGAAGTTTGCACTTCAAAGGAGTGAGATACCACACCTGGCACAGTTTGGTACCTACCTCGTGACTGCATCCCACTGCAGAGGAGTGGATGCAAACTGCCTTGGACGGCACCAAGCAGAGAGAAGGAACATGCTGGCCCAGCACCATTCGCCTTCCTTCCCTTGGCCCTACAGACCATATCTGCTCATTCCACTTTTTGTGTGACAGGTTTTTTACCAGTAAAACCATTTCACTCACCTCTATTTCGTTCGATGCACCCCACAGACGGACCCCTGGGGTTCATCCTCCCAGAGCTCTGACACTGGACACCTTTTCCCACTTGGCTGTGACTCTCTGTCACAAGCATTAGGGATTCGTATCAGCTCGTGATTTCGCTTTCTACAAGCACCCTGTCTTGTTCCAGCGGGAACTAGAAGGCTTATATAACAATAATTCCCTGTTCCTCAGCTGCTCCACGCTCCCATAGCATCTCACATGGCAAGACTCCTTTTGAAACTTCTCCCTGGCAGCCTGCTCTGGTCTCCCGCAGAGAACCTGAAAAATAACATTTCTTTCCCCATAATGTTCCTTTGCAACACTTCCTGTAGTTTTACAGCAGACAAGATTAAAAAGAAACAAAACTCCATGACCAGCAGGGAGTTCTGCACTGGGTGACAATTTGAGGTGCAATTGTGCAATAAGGGATTGTTAGGGTGGCAGTTTGTTACAGCTTTGCAAGGAACAGTGTGTGTCAATGCAGTTATATTTAGAGACTGCCACTCAACTGTGAAACCTCCACTGCCTTGGTCAGAAGTCTCCCCAGTGCTTCAGTATGTCTTTCCTTTATGTTTAACTCACATTTCAGAGTCAAACTGTGGAAGAGAAGTTCTATTTCTTCCTTATTTAACACCTCAGCAATTTCTTTTAAACTGTACAGGGTTTTGGTTTTTTGCTCTGAACTTTCCCTCTTGTGCAGGATGGTAGGCTGCAAATGGTACATGAATTAGAGACTTATCTTTCCCCTTCATCCATTTTAAAGGCTCTGAAGAACTGTATATTCCTGACAAAAAAATACATTAATACATAAAATGAACACCAATTCAATCAAAACTATTAAAAAAAATTAACTCTGAGATAAATATTATGTCTAGAATTATCTCTAGGAATAATTATCACTATTTTAAATATGGTAAAGTATTATTTCCTTGGGTACACGAAGAAGCTTTGCTATAATATCTGCAGGAGCTGCTGTAGATTTTTATCCTTCTAATCTCATAATCATCATTAATGTTTTTAATTCCAGATTGTAGCTACCAAAAAGCTTGGGATACACAGCAAAAATTACATACCCCAGATTCTGTATCAGTTTCCATTGGTTTGATTTGTGGGTTCCCAGCCCTTGTGATGTGCATTTCTGAGCCATTGCCACCAGTCCAGTTCTCAGTAGCCTACACCAGAAATACCAAAGATATTGAGATTAAAAACATTTTTATTCTAAACTCCATACAAAACTTAAGGTTTTGAGGTGGTTTTTTGGTTTTATTGTTTTGGGTTTTTTTTTAAATGAAAAATATGATTTAAACAGAGGAGCTTGGATTTCACAACCAGTCAATTAACTCTTTTCAAGAGAATTTCCAAAATGTGCCTATGAAATCTTTACTAAATCAAACAGGTATACCTATTCCTGAAAAATATTTCTGGTTTCAGTAGCTGAGACATATTTTAAGAAAAAAAACACTTGCAGAGCTTCCATCAGATACAGCTTGATGCATTTTGTGCCCCTGTAGACTCGCATCTCAAATTCCAACTGTGTGCTAGTGCTTCAAGCCAAGAAATGAACCCGACTGCACAGCTTTGCAGCTGTAATGGCTTCATATTTGATGATATTTACAGCCTATTTAGTCTTGCAAAACACAAGAGGCCTATGTTTAGGATTTTTTAGAAACCAAGCTGAGCCAGCAGAGCTGTGGCTCACGAGACCTGTGTTGCTTCCCTGATGTTACAAGCAAAACCTGCTCAGCCCTTGGAGTTACGAGTTCCCCAAATACTTTATCCTTTACAAATGGCTGTACCCTACATTAACTGCAAGAGTAGGTGTTAAGTTTTATCATACAATTTGAAACCATACTACTGCAATTTATTTAACTGAGCTGACTAAGCTTCCTGTGGGAACTGGTGCCAAGCTTTGTGCTGCAGGTGGGTAGGACAGGAGCAGTGCTGACCCCAATACTGCAGTATTAACTAAAAGTTTCCCTAATTCATAGGATTATGCTATAGCCATGTTGTACTTCAAGTCATAAATTGTTACTTTTAACTCTGTTTCTGAAGTATAGTGAGCTTCATAAGAAATTCTGTTTGTAATGGCTGAAACCATATTTTGCCATTTGAAGGTAATATAATCAGTTTGAGTTTTCTTATATTATTCTGGTTTTGCCGAAGAAGATTTCATCCTTAATGCATCATCAGTAGAACATGTAGTTTACAGGAGTCGTGGTAAAATTAAACTACATTATTTTGCAAGCAAATAGTCTTGAAATACATCAGTGTAGCAACAGCAAACACGGAGCTCACAGAAACACCCTACATTTTGGTAAATATGATCATTATCTCTCACTTCTTGTTGCCCTTGTACCTGCAGCCACATGAAGGGTGAACTGTTGATTATTTCCACTGTAAGTCCTGGCACTGACTTTTTCCAGCTACTGTTATTTTTTTACTGAACCATCCAATAATTACTAAGAGGAGAGATGAAGAGCAATATTTTCTTGTGCATGTTTATTCCAACTTGTTCATGCAGTTTCATTAAGTTAAACAGAAGCTGGGTGGTTTGATATCTTACTATATAGTGTTCTATACTTTATATAGAACTATATAGTGTTCTTTCTTTACTATATAGTGTTCTTTCACCTTTAGGTCTTATAGTTTATTAACAACTAGTGTTAGGTTAAAAAGATGGAAGATACACAAAAGTGGAGCCTTTAACAACTAAGTTATGTGTTTGGTAACAGAAGGTTTGGGGGGCACTCTCAAATATTTTGTTAAAATTGCTTGGGGGTCTGGGGCAAAAAGGGAGCAGCACAAAAGGCAACGGTGGTTTGGCAGTTTATGGGGATGTGTTTCAGCCCCCTGCTCTAACAGTGTTTCCTGATTTTTGCTCAAGGTAGGCACTGTCATACATGGAGAACCTGTGTTATTTTCTAAGTCATTAGGGCCTGTGTTTTGGGCACAGAAAAATCAAAGAAACCAAGCGTTACTGGAAGAGATTAAACCATTGGTTTCAACTGGATCCATTCAGATACATGGCGTGCACTAACTAGACTAGTTTAAGGTGACAATAAACTGCAAGTGACTTCAACCATTTATGGGCATCTAGTTCACAAAATGAGATCTTAACTAGGCTGATGTAAACCCACCCCTCACCCTTTTTAAAACCCATACAGTACCTTCAGCCTGCTTATTTCTCATATCCACATCCACTGCTCCACACCAGACACAGCCCACAGAAACGAAAAGCTCAGAAAAGGGCAGACTGGATTTTAAGACTTCTCAGGGTGCAAGCTGGTTCTTGTACTTGTTTTCACTGTGCCAGAAAAAAAAGTCTCCAATCTAGATCCTAAGACCTAATATTGCAATAGTTATCAAACCTAGAAATATGTAAAAAAGATAATAGGCTGCAAATCTGGAATTGAAGCAGGTTCTAGGCCTCCAAAAAAAGGGGGACTGAGGCTGCCAGACAGAATGAAACCAGGAGAAAGTTCCTTCCTGCTTCAGAGCTGTAGGAAAAGCAATTCAATCAGAAGGTGTCTCTTCCCTTCCTGCCCCCACTGCGAGAAGGAACAATTCTGACTTACTAGGTCAGCATAGTCTGCAAGACTTTGCAAAATAACAAAGATGCAAGTACTTTCCTGTGCCTAAGGCTTGCCCTCTCAAAAAGACATAAATACAAATCATACACACATAAATATATGTATTCATTAATTTTATACTTTACTGAGCACTTTCAGAGATACTATAACAGCTGGGCAGAGGAGGGAATGTATTTTCAGCAATATTTTTTTGTAATACTTTTGAACACTGTTTCATTTTTCCACATAAAGTAATGCATCTCTCATACATACCAATGCACTGCAACAAATATTTCTGATGGTTGGTTTGTCTGGTTTGAGCAGAGTTAACCTGACCTTGTTCTTTGGAGAGAATTCTTTTCAGCTGAGATATCTAACTCTTCTCATATGACCTCAAATGCAGCCACTTTCTACCTCCCACACTGAACTGTGGCTCTTTTGTCATCACAAATCTGTTGAGTGAAACTTCACGTGCAACAATGACTTTTTGCAAGAAATCAGATTAAGAAGCTAATCAGGGAAAGACATTTTGGTGTGTTTTAATACTTTTGAAACAAAGTGAAAATGGAGAATATATCAAGCTCATTTCAGCTTAAGGGGGTGAGCGTAAAACTGTCTTTACAGAAAGCTTTCTACTCTTTCAGAGAGACAGTCAAAATAGGGCATGCTAATAATATGGCATTTAGGAAAAGGTATGTATTATTTTAAGGCTAATTTGATAAATTGCCATCATTAAGACCTTGATAATGGCTAGGTCTAATGCAGCTGCTTAGGTATATAATAATAGTATGATGCCTGCTCTAGGTTTTTTTCAAGAAAATGCTGCAGTTTGACTCAAGCACTGGTGGCAGAATGGGCTGGTTGTCACCACATCTCAACCTGGGGGACAGAATTCAGCTCTTAGAAATCATGTAATTGGTGACTTGGTTTGAAACCTGAGCAATCAGAATTAGTATTACCCAAAGAAATCTCTCTAGGATACAGATTGAGATAATTAATAACACACATTTACTTTATACTTAAATCATACCTGCACCAAACTCAGAGCAAAGCAGGAGGCAAACACAGAGCTCAATTCCAGAGACACAGGACCAAGTTCCACCGAGCATCTTGATTCCACTGGGCTCAGTGGGGACCACTGAGTTTTTACTCCCCCAGATTTAGGCATTTATGGGGCACTTGGATCAGGAGTGTGGCTGCCTTGCCCTGCCTTATAGGCAGTAAAGGCAGAGAGGTGCTTTTAGAGATGATGCAAGTCTTAGGTGGGGATCAAAACCCTGGAAAAACTAATCCCTCCCTTATTTCTAGACTCTTAACTGAGGTTAAATGGGTTCAATTTAGGACTCTGCAAGCTCATATAAAGAAAAGTTTGGATCTATAATGCTTGTCTTGATCAAATTTTAAAACATGCAAGAGAATTTTTACAAGTAATTTTCATAGATGGATTTGACCCCAAGTAGCCACTGGAAATAGAAATGCTGTTTTATTATCAGACAAAGTAAATACTTACCAAATTAATACACAAGCCCCTAGCAGATTTACATTTTTTCTCTTTTCCCTGAGCTCTATTAATATTTAAGTTTGCTGGTGTCCAAATGACCCAACAGAAATTTTTGAAGGAAGTCATTATTACCCAGAGCACAAAAGGATAAACTAATCCAAAAATTAGCCTTCTTTGAATGGAATTTAAGTGAGAAAGAACAGAGCACATTTCATCTTGATATTTCTGATTCTACAACCACATGGATAAGAAGATATATTTATTATAGTGACCAACATTTCTGGGGAAAAAAAAAATCTCAGCATCAGAATAGCTCTTTTGTCTTTAAAGATTTCATGATGGCAGTTGAAAAGGTGTCATTTGTTTTTAATATAATATTTAATCCACACTTAATTACGAAAGGAAACCATGTAATCCACTAAATGAGATGGAGTTAAAAATAGCAAAAAGAGGTACTAAAATACATAATGAATTTTGGCAGCTGCTTATATTTAGGGAAATAATAAATTCTATCCAAGAAATGAAGAACTGAAAGGGGAAGCAAATTCTCATTGTGTGCCTGAAGTCTGAAGGGCTGTTCACCAGGGCACCAACAATCTTCAGAGCCAATAGCTCAAGATCTCATTAAACCATACAATACTTTATGCATATTAAAACACTAAGGTCTGGTTCATTGCTTAGATGTGCTGCAAAAGTGTAAAATCTCTCTTAGTTCTGCTGCTACTTTCCTGTCCAGCTTTACCAAAGTGCTTTTGAACTGGAAAGCTGCTCTGAGAACTTCTGTACTGCCTATTTTCCTTCTCAGATTGGGGAAATCAATCCACATTTGGTTTGGTCCCCAAAATTGTAGTTATTCTGTCATCAAAAGATTCTATAATCAGTTAACATGTGCTACAAAGCCTAAAGCATGTTAAAAATGATGGGCAGACAGCAGGGTTTCACATCCTCAGGTTGTGCAATACTTATCATATGTGAATATTCTTTGCATCAAAAATTATCTACTGTGTACAGTCTGTATATCTACAGTCAGTAAAAGTGTATAAAAATAAAGTTGTCTTTATCTAAAGGAGTCTCTTCTAGAAAAAAAATGTCATCTTCTTCCCTCAAAAAAATTGAAAAAAATGAAGAAATAAAAATTGAGGGAAACAGGTAAAAAGGTGTTCAATATACAATACTTAGTTCAATTAAATGCTATTTAAAGAATAAGCAGTTCTAAAGACATTTACTAGATTCTTCATCCAAGTGTGTTAAAACATAATTTGATCACTATCGACCCTTGGGTATGTGTTGACCCTGGAGGGCTGCAATCCATAACCAGTTCAACAGCTGGAAGCTCCAGATCTAAGGCTGGAAGTAAAGTTCACCTTTTTAAAAAGTGAAAATAATTAACCATTGCAAATAAGGCCTGTGGTAGCTTCTCTGGAATTTGAGCTCTCAAATAAAGATTAAATGTCTTTTGGTCCTTTATCAGTAAAGGAGAAGCCACCAAGGCTTCTCCTGTATTCCAAAAGATGTCCCCAAGAGGTGATGCCCCAAAGACAGATAATGAGCCCCTAAAGGAGTCAAGACCAAGCCCAGGCATGAAAAGCTTTACCAATCAACATGAAAAAAACAAGATACTTTCAAGCCAACAGGACTGGAGCCTTCAAAAATTAATGGACTGCATCATATAAAACTGCCAACATGAAGCAAACAGAGATCCTTAAGTACATCCTCCCCTGTATCCATAAATCAATCTGTAATAACAACTCCTACTGCTGCACTAAACTTTTCCTTCCAGCTACTTACTTGGAAAACAGAAACATGCCTCCTCATGTGTCCATTAAAAACAATCAGTCTTGCTGATGCCTTCTCAGGTGATTTAATCCCTGTGCGTGTTCTTACCTTTCTTTAACAATTTGTATGATGCCTTTCCTCATTTTTATTCACTTATTAGCACAGCAAGCAATTACTTGGGGAAGGGGAAGAAAAGAAAAATAACCTCAGACCGATGGGATGGAAAAAGCTTAAAAAAAGAAGGCAAGAGGCAGACTTGCTTGGTCTCAGAGCAGTTGCCATGGCACTGCATCTGACTTGTCTACAGATTCACTCTCTGGCAGGTAGCAGCAGGCACAGGAGTTAGTTTTCATCCTCTCTAGGAGAGGAAATTTATTTTCCCCTCACCTCTTGGGCACTAAAACTCAACCTTGTTCACAGTGCCAAGAAATACTGAGCTGACCCTGAATTCCACGTGCAATAGGAGTTCAGCCTACACCACTCCCCACACTGACTCCTCTCATTTTCAGCCTCTCACCTTCACCACTAAACCTGCCCCAGCGAACCTCTCTCCAAAACTTTTGCAGTGTTTTGCATAGCAAAGTAATTCCTGTTGCTCCACTAGTTTTAATCTTTTCAAATCTACAACATACCTCTTCCTTTCTTCAGTGAAACTTGACTTATCCAAATGACCAGGAAGACACTGAAAAAGTTCAAATATTATCTTCAGAATAATTTTTAAAATATTTTCAGTGATTGCACCTGTCAAACTATATAACGTCAAAGAAGTCCTCCTTCTACAACTTAACCTCATTGAATAAGCTGATAAAAAGACAGATTTCCTGCAGCCTCAAGGGAAGCTCTTTGGGTGCACTTTGTCTCTTTCACCTAAATGACATCACCTATTCTCAGTATTTCCAACAGTCATTTCTGCCTTTGAGTGATTTAAATCTCTGCTGACTGTACTCCCAGCTCCCATTTTTAGCACGAGAATCAAAGTATGCCTTGTCACCTCTTAACAAAAAAAATAAAGTTTCAAGTTTGTCAGATCTTCCCCCTCTGTCAAACTTGTTCTTCTCTTCCATCATTAGAGCACTCAAACCTATTTCTCCTTTAGCTAAGCTAAATCCTCTCTGCTTTCCTTTCCCGTTATTCTATAAACCTGTTTTCCTCTCTCTCTGATCCCAAAACCATAGTAGATAGTTTTGACATCACCCCTTTTCCTGCTTGTCACCCCGAGTTCTTTGGTTTATTGGGAATACAGCTGCCAACCACCCCACCCTCAGCACCTGCTTTTGCCATTCCTTTATCTGTGACATCACATTAAGGCTTTTCATTTTCAGTTTCAGAAGCCTCCAACTCTTACCTGAACTGCTATCTCGGGCTTTAGCTTGGCCTATGGTGCCCTCTGAGCTCTCCACTCTGAATATCCTGTGTTTTCAGAGTGTTTTCTGTCAGTGCTCTGGGTAATCACATGGAAGCAATACAGCTTCCCTGCCACAGCTGCAAACATCATTAGCTCAACAATACTTTATATTTTTGGTAACAAGGAGATAAAGCAAGACTGCTATCTTGAGTCAGGTGCCAAAACAAGGGCTTTCTTTGCTCTCAGAAGTCCCTCTACTTTCTAACTGGACACAGAACTATAGCAAATGTGCTGCTCTGAACTGCTTTCATTCCATTTCAGAAAATAAAAATCTCAAAAACTTTCAAGCCACTTTGCAACCTTGGCACTTCAGGGCCTGAGCAACAAGGGGCAAACAGAAACTATGACTAAGATTTGTTCTTTAATTCTTTGTGCCTCCTGCCCTTCCTTTGCAGAGGCTGCCTCATCAGGAGCCCGCTGCCTCAAACTGGAACTTGCAGCCCTGTAACTACCTCAGACTATTTAGAACAATGATATTATTTATATACTGGATGGTTTGCAGTACACCTTTCATTCCTTTTCAGAGCAGTACATGATTATAATCACCAGTAACAAATACAGCACAGGAAAACACTGATTGCAGTAACTTGGCAATCCAGATGTCAGAGTTCCAGACCTGTCCCAGCCAGGCTATGTGACCCACTGTCAGATTCCACATGTAACTAATTCCTGCATAAGCAATAAAAATATCTGAGCTCAAGCCAGCTACAAGGCTTATCTCCATGTTTAACCACACTTCAGTTCTGCAGCCTCACATCTTCACTTCATACCTTTCTCCTTCTTACATTTTTCAGTGAATTTTCTTTAGTCAGACCGAGGCACTTCTCGCATTTACTTTCCATGAGTACTCAAACAATTGAGTTCTCCTGACATAAATGCCTGTGGAGAAGGAATGAATGTCAAGGTCTAAAGCCAAAGCATTTGTGCCAACCTAACATATGATTCAATGCAGAGATGATGTGCATTCTGTCACTCAGCAAATGGAAAGAAACACACCATTGTGATTTATGATTGAGCACCTCTGAGCAACACAGCTTGGAAATGAAAAACTAGCAGAGAGTTCTCTGCAGGGTAAAAAGGGGAAGGCAGGGCATGAAAAGGGGAAATGGAAAAATACATATAGAATCTAAATTATTAAATAAGGTTAACAAAAAATATGATACTGTTCCTGTAAAAATCTTGAGCTGGTAATACCTTTTGGTCTCTCATTAGTTTTGAGCATGAATGTCAATATACAAGTTGTGAGCCATCTTTCTTTCCTGAGTTTCTTTCCATTGTCTTTGCCATTCCAGTTCCTGGTGAAAGAAGCAGGTCTGCATGGTTATCATTCATGTTCCTCTACTACAGCTGTACCTTTCCAAATTACATTTCCATTCCATCACAAACCTCATTCTCCTCCCGTCAATTTATACGGCATTGTTGAGTAAACTTTACCAGAACAGGAATTTTCATACCTTGTTTTATAAATATTTATGCCTTTGGAGAAAAAAGTTAAATACAGATAGTAACATACAGTTAATTCTATTTCCAGAGCTGGACGAGCTGCAAAACAGTTTAATGCAAGTGACAATAACTGCAAATATAGACAAAAACAGAGTAATCACATCAGTATTTATGCAAAATATATTATAAAAATTGAAATGCGCATATTTTACTAAAATGCAAACTATATATGGCCCATAAAATGCTGATTTTAATGTCCTCATTACTGTTAAATGATTTGCTTCTCATGTACCATTTAGTAAAAACAGTCAGTTAATGGCACTATATTGGAGTTTAAATTACGATTTTTTTTTTAAATTATGTTCAGAAAATCTGTTCTGTAAGAGCACTGCTGAAAACATGATTACTAGAAAAACACTAAGATGAGAAGTGTGTTTCCCCAGCAGTATCTCTGTAATATTGCATTCCCATTCTCACTTGAAAGTGAAACCTGTGTACAGGATTTAATAACTTTATTTTATTTTCAGTTTCTCTGTTATGCAAGAGAAGGCAAGAGGAAGACAACACTGACAGATATTTCAACAGCTATTTATTCATTGCAGAAGTGCTCTGCTTCCAATAGATAGTGAAAACCTGTAGTGGGGGGGGGGAAAAAATCACAGAAGAGAAAAATCAAGCACTAGAGACTGCAATGCAAATATTCTTACAAACAATTATGTTTTTTCACTTACCCAGCCTTGCAGCCAACTGCTAAACTTGCCCAGATGTCCATTTTTCACATCTAAAAATTCTTGGGAAACAGGGCTTTGCTTTATGCTTACATTTAGCCCTATTTTGTCAATCCCAAAGCATTTTATAGAGAAATACACATTATAATTTCCACTTTAATAAGATCACAGAGTCATAGAACAGTTTGGGTGGAAAGGGTGCTTTAAGGGCCATCCAGCCCAACCTCCCTGCCGTGAGCAGGGACAACTTCACCTGGATCAGGCTGCTCAGAATCCCATCCAACCTGACTGAACATTTTCAGGCACGGGAACTTCGTCATTACTTTATTTTCTTTTGCCTGCAGAGGTGAGGGCAGCCCTGAAGTGCTGCTGGGGCTGGGGGGCAGCAGAGTCACAAAACCCAGACCTCTCCTGCACTGCCTGAGAATAACTTTATTCCTATAATCAGGATTAAGTGAGGCTGCTCTCACATTCTGAGTCAAGCACAAATTCCTGCATAGATCAACACAACATTTTACTTCTTACCAGTTCTACTGCCAAAATATCCTAATCATAGAATCAGATCTGTACTCTTCAGCTACTGGTGAAGAGAGATGCACTGTTTTACTGTGTAAGATATGAATACACTCCCTCAAGAGATTTATTTAAAACTTTGACCTACCTTTTCTGTGGCTCTCTCTGAACAAGAGACCTGAGAACACTTCTCCTGCATAAGATCTACTTTAGCAAAGTACAGCTCAGTTTGAAGGAGCCCAGCAATGGACTTGACTTTTCTTCCCTCACTGTGGGGGTCCTATTGAGTTCAGGAACTTGAAAAAAATAATCAAAAATGTTTTTAATGCCTGCTCTTAAATACAATTCCTTGAATAAACTAAAGTTAGAAATTCCAAAGAATTAACATTCTTTGAATGTTAACAACTGAACACAATTGTTAATCCAAGATCAGTATGAAGATCCAACATTATGTACTCCAAAAAGTCAAAGATATTTCTATAGTGTAGGCAAATGATATATTTTAATAAAATAATTTACATTGCCCCGAGTTAAAGCCTAGAAATGTAAAGATACACCTTTTAATGGCCCTACAAACAAGTAAATTGAACACACTGCCTGCTTTTTTTTGGCACAGAGCACACATAGTGGCCTATAAGCCCCCGAAGCAGCCCAGGACCAGCCAGGATATTCCATTTGCTCAGTTATAAGGCAAAAGAGGAAAGCAGGCAAGTGTGCTGCACAAAATTATCAGACAGGGAAAAGTGTGGTAGGGCATAAATCCCTAAGGAAGTCTGTGTTCTAAAGCACAAGAAATAACTTGTTACTTTCACAGTCACAGTTATCATTCTATTCATTGTACTTACTAGAATGGATGCACTCCTGAAGTAATTAAAGCATTTTCATGATCCATAGGTTTGTTACAGAGAAAAGTCTTTTACATTTATCTCTTTCCAGTAATGGCAGCTTGCATCGAGAGGTGAAATCAAAAATCCATCATGAAAAGATACTTTGAAGAACTTGGTTCTAATCTTCCAGCCTCAGGGTTTGTTTTTTTGTTTGTTTATTCACTCTCTAGGGAACAGGCAAAGTAGAAGAAACTTCACATTTTACTGTGTTTTCATGGCCTTAATTTTCACCACTTCAGTCCCAGCAGGTCGCTGCAGCTTCACTATGAATTTCTCAGTTTTCTGTACTGCATGAAAATATGGTCACCAAGAGGATTTCCCATCACAAACAAATCAGCTGTACAAGGGAGGGAGAATTGTCCTTTGGATTCCATCAGCTAGAACTTCTGAAGTCCAACCAACCAACCAACTGCACAACTGCTGGCCCTTCTGTGCCAGGTTGGACAGCCTCTCTATCAGCTATGGGATTTCCAGCACCCCTTCCTCTCTCAGTATAATGTTAAATCATATTTTATTATCTTTAGCATGTGTGTGTACATTCTACACTTAGAAGAACTGATCCAGCTATTCTTATGAGGTTGTACACACAGAACTGGCCACATCCTCACATATTAAAAGTCTAAATTTATAGTCATAACAACGTATTAAAAAAGTAAAAAACCTTACTGCTACCTCAGACAAAAAAAATTCTCTTATTGAAGGAACTTTCAACCCCACTGGCATACCTGTTTGAGCCAATACTTTAAAAACTCCTTGTACTGAACAGATTAGATTGATATTTTACAGTAATGCCTTCTGTCAGGGAAGCATCCAATGGGAGCCAGCTACTACATGGATTCTAACACGGCTTGCCAAATTTTACTAGTGTTTTCAATGTCCACACAAGAAATTGCCCATTAAATTTATAGACCAATTTTATGCTAACTGTACTCATTATAGTCTGTGAAGAAACTAGGTAATTGGGTTGTTGTACTTCTATCTTTAGAAATAAATTAGAATTCCTGCTTAGTTAGAATAATTTAAAATGTCTGACAGTGCCTGTTCAAAGCATCCATTAACAAATGCTGGCTTCTCCTCGACTTCCCACTGCATTAAACAGGCCATTTCTGTACACAAGACAAAGCAGCTAATCAACTGGAAGTTGAAAATAAATATGCAGGGAGCAGGCACACAAACCACAGTGTTAAAATACATTTGCCTTATGCCAAGATTCATTTGTAAATTCATCAAGTGTTACAGTTACTAAGTCATGTTGATATGTTTTCAAGATGGTTAACTGCTCGAAAACAAATAATATTTACAGTGCAGTTAAATGGACTTATTCAGCAATACTCAAAGGCACAAATTGAACCAGTGGGTGTACAGAAGCATTTGTGTTGCTGCAGCACTTAGGGCTGTGCTCTGGTGAAAGGTGGCCCTGCCCACGGCAGGGGGGTTGGAACCAGATGAACTTTAAGGTCCCCTCCACCCC